GAGATGAGGAACATTGACCCATCTCAGTAAATGAAAAGCTTGCAAAGCCAGGAAAAGCAGCAAAAATGATTGCTCACTGGGACACTGTTCAAGATACTTTTAGAATTGGTATGACACAACTGAACAGCCTTTCTCCTTGTTCCTTCTCCTCTCTTTGAGACAACAGATGGAAACAGAACAAGGATGTCATCCGTGTGCACAAACAACCACCACTAACGTGAATGCCTAGCCCTAGGACAATGATACTCAGCTGTTTGGGAGTCACATGGGGCTCTTTGACATAGATACTGCTCTCCAGTGGGGCATAGGTGCCACGTTTCAGGAAAGCGGGCCAAGACTTCGCCCAGTGGGACCTTAAACGAGTGGCCACTGGAGGAATGGGTAAGCTGAGAGCTTTCCAGATGTGCAGGCTTCATGCCAGGGATGGAAGTAAGATGTGGCTCTTTTGGTTGAAGGTAATTATGCAAGTCGCACAGTAAATACCACAGGCCTAGAAGGTCAGTAATGGTGCCCGTCTCTCTAGAATGAGTTACCTTGTAAGGAGGAACTGAGAGTTCTGGATAGTCTGCTGACTGTTTTCTGTGTTAGATGTGTTGGTTGTTGCTGTAGATTGTGTTATAGTGGTGGTGACGCTGCTAGTGTTGGTGCGCCTCGTTGCGTTGCGAGCAGTCTCCAGTTGTTGCCGTGCTGCCTGCGCGTGCTGCCGTTCTAACTGCAATTGCATCTGCAGCTGCTGTAACTGAGATGCAGAAGGGCCAGAGGAATTGAGCTGTCCCCCTGCAGAGCGCCTCACACCGGACAACTGAGATAAAAGCTCTGTGAACATGAAAAACAAGGGGTTTTCCCAGTAATAATGAAATCCACTCAACAGAAGACTTAAGCCTCCCCTCCGATTATCACAGCCAATTGCTTCCAGAATACCATTTCACACATTATTAATAATAATTATTGTATGGCATTGTGTGTAGAACAGCCGGGGACGTCCTAAGATTGTCTGGCAGTCACACATTCTAGCTCTTTAGCGTTATACACCACTAGGTGGCGAGCTAGACTTGTTTTTAAGGCAAGAGACGTCTCAGAGGTGGTTTTGCCATTGCCTGCCTCTGCGTCACAACCCTGGTATTCCTTGGAGGTCGGGTCCTTCCAAATCCTAGCCAAGGCTGACCCTGCTTAGCTTTCGAGATCTGATGTGATCAGGCTAGCCTAGCCTATCCAGGTCGGGGAATGTCACACATTTGTAATTTACCATGGTTATGAAAGAAGAACAAGGCACTTTCCCAGTCCCTAGCTCTCACCTTGTAATGACCTACTATTCAACCTTACAGCCAATGCTGTAACAACTCAGGGGCTGAAACAAACAAGGGAAAAATGCTGGGGGGCCTTTCTCTCTTTCAATGCAGCCGCTCCTTAAAACACAGATGGTTTAACGCTCTTGTCAAGTAAGTAAAAATATGAATGTAGATGCATATTTAAACTGAGATCAAGTGAAATTAAGGTGTCTGTAAAAGTGACTCACGTACACTCCTGCTTTTAGTACAAAACACACATTCAGAAATGCAACAGAATACAGGTATAATCTTTTAATACCTGCAGAAGTCGGTTAATCAGCTTGATTGGTAGGGTGGGTAGAGAAAATGGGCAGCAAGACTCAGTGGTTGCTCACAGTGAAGGTACATATTAAGGCGTTCAAGATATAAAGGGGGCAAGGTTGGGGGAGGCGAGATGAGCCAGTGAGCCACTGGAAGAACGAGGTCATGCAGGAGGCACTCAGGATAAGGAGGGAAGGAAGCCTCAAAACAAACGGACACGGCGTAAAGCAACCCCATGTTCCCCGCGAATGTCAGATAACAAAGCTTGTGCATCGCTATAAAGATTCGTGAAGCTTACCAGCTATAGGATCCATGGCTTCCCTATTGCTTGGAGAATACGAACTCTGTGAAGATGAAAACCCACCAGTGGAACTGCTAGTAAAGTGCATGTTTGATCTACGTGCGCGAGGGCCACCCAAACCCCGGCCTGGGTGAAACATTCTACGTACATGCCGAACACCGCTGGATTCATCGTAACCAATGAGTTAAGGCAAAAAAGGTCACACTGTGGAGTTACTAAAACTTTTATCAGAAGAATCGAGTGTTAGGATCGGGGGGCAAAAATCATTAAACCTTGCAGAGTCCCCTTTTAATTCAAAGTTATACAACACAGAGAATTCTGGGGCTTAGAACCAGGTTTACACATCATAAAACCAGCAGGCAAAGGATCAGCTTGTGACCGTCCGTCATCCTGGTTTTGTACCACCGATGGCACAAGACATGCCCATGACGGTCATACCCTTTTTATGGTACTGCTGGTTATCACCCAATCCAGGTAACATTGAGGTGCATGAATACAGTCCCCATCATGGCCAAAGCATGGGCCACTAATGATTAATGGTCCCCCTTTTCAAGCTGTACATTTAATGAACCTTAAAATCTCGCACAATCCATTGCATTGTGAAAAAATACCTATACAACATTACCCCTTCTCATTCAGATTACCTCCTGAGAAAAGGGCAATGCAAGCATATATTCGGTAGAGCAGGCACTGTGGACAACTGCAAGTCCGAGTCTCAAAGTTACAGGAATTTCATTCTTCTAAATAGAAGAAACACTCTCGGGTACCAATGGGAGACGCCCTGTTTAGACAGAAGATTTGTTTAGACCAAGGATCTGAAATCTATGGCTCTTTACACTAAGATATATAGGAAGGGTAGGTGGGATATTGGAATAATTAGTATGTTAGGGAATGGCAAATATTTTTCTTAGAGATGCTTTACAGATAGGGATACAACAGATGTGAACATGAGCCAGTAATCCATTCTGCAAACAATGTGAAAATTTATGTCAGGACACTAAAACAATGATGTGGATTGCTCCTGGGTATCTGACTTATTGTGAAACCTTGTGCATGCAACTCCCTAATAGTGGACTCTCAACTAGCATTTGGGTTGCAGAAAAGTTATGGATTATTACCAACATGCTGATTATTATTAACGTTGTATATTTTCAGTAACGCAAATGGGCTTTCTTATCTCTTGCTCTGAATTTTGATGCAGTTTGGTTCTTTAATTATAAAAAGTTGATGACCCCTGGTTTAGATGGACAATGACAGACCATTCTGCCTGAATAATTTCTGTCTTTAAAGTAAAATCAGATTTACCAATTTTTTGTCAGCCATTATTGATGTAATTAGGTAGTGTTCAAACACAGTTCCTTTGGCACATCTAACTGGTCGGACCAAAATAACTCAGCGCTACTAATAAGCCAGCAGAACCACCCATTTCAAAATCAACCTCAAGGTAGCTATTAATATATAAAGCAACAACAATCTTGCTGTTTCTTCTTGGCCCGGGCAAGGATATTAAATCTCTAGGAGCTCTATGTTCCAGTGTAAGATGAGCAGCAAAGTCATCTGTGACATGATTGGGATCTCCTCCTGGTAATGCTGCACATATTGGACAAATCTGAAACGACAAAGTTAGAAGCTCTGTTTGAATCTTTCACAGGGAAAAGGGATTGCTAGAAAACATCATACTGGAGAACACAAACTGCTAGGCTTTTGTCTGGAATCAGTTTGGGAGAAATAGTGGTGCTCCTACAACGCCAGCTCCTAGGTTGAAACGTTATTTGTAAAAGCTCCGCATTAGGTAGTGGAAAAAATTCCAAGCAAGGATTAGATATGGGAGGAACACTCATGAGGAACTTTTGGCAACCTCTAACAGTTGTTTATAAGCAGCAGACCTGCAAGGACTTGTGGGTAACAT